CATTTTTTGGTTTTGTATTACTTGCAGATTGAACCGTACGTACATACATAGTCATAGTTGGTACTGGTACAATACAAGGGTAAACAGTAATACGTCATCAAGGGAGTTCTTTTTGTCGTCATCCGTCACAGAAACTCTGTATCAAAGCTGAAAATTGGTTGACAGATTGAAAATAAATAAATGAAAATCCCAAATGCTATTCAAACGAAGAAACACAGTTTATTTGTCCCTGTTGTAATGACCTTCTGGCCAAAAATTGATTTACTGCACAAACAATGGTCATGCAAAGGCCTGCAGGCCCATACTGGAGCTGAAAATTAGTTCCAAAATTGACAGGTGCCCTCTGACAGCCTGCTTCTTTGAAAATGCTGCACTAGGCCTCAAGGAGCCAAAATGCTGCTTTGACGATCGTGGCCAATTAATTGAGCCACGAATGGTGGGCATGATCAGAGGCGTATAATAGGTCACTATTTGCCGATGAAGTGCAGGTACCAGGTACACCGTTGAGATTTTTATGTTTCTTTATCTCGAATCAGGCATTTCCGATGATGGAGGGTTCAGACATTATGCTACTCTTTTGGTACGGTTTCATGATTTTTTTTTTTAGATTTGTCTTCAGGAAAGCCCAAGGCACCGAAAAATCTTCGAGTTTGTTACTTAAGGGACAATGAGATTCGGGTGATTTGGGCACCAGGTTGCGACGGTGGAGTTCTATTACATCAACATTCGCGTGATTACTCGAGAATTCGACCCTCTGGGGTGGAACGAACTCAACCCAGACAGGCCCCGTAGTCATGTCAGTGACCTCGAACAGGACACGCTCTACCAAGTAGCCGTGTATGCCAAAAACAGGCATGGCTTGGGCCCTTACGCAACAGTAGAAACACGCACAAAACGTAAGTGTCGCCCGTCGCTTTCACTTGAGCTACACGTATTTGCATGTGACTGTGCACATCTTCTTCCCAATGAACTGCGTTATCTGTTTGCCCATTTTTAACATTGAACGGTATACGATTGCAAGACACTGCCTCCGTATACGACCCATGACAACCTGGGAGAGCTAAAAAAAGAAAAACTCAAGTTACCATAAAGTACTCTTCTTTTTGAAAGCAACTCGGAGAAACCGAACAAATAACCACACAACTACAGAAACGTTTCCAAAGCTATATAAATTAATTCTCTTAGCTACATTTCAATATTATGGATGAAACAGTCTAACAGTTCTCTGCACTTCTTTTTCTCCAACATTGGTGGCGTCTCAGGCACTGCACCGTCGCTGATGGGTAAGTACCTCAATCCACGTGCCAACATGTTTATTCAATTTGCACTAGTAGATGTAATACTTGAGACATTGTTCACTCTCAAGATATTTGAATGTTTGCACATTAAGTTTTTGAGGTCAAGTGAAAAGATACATTTTAAACAGAGTAGAAAAACCAACTACCAAAGGAATTGCTTGAACATTTCCCCTCTTTGTAGGTGAGAAGCGCTTTAAACCTAAACGAAAAAATATGATATATTAGCGTTTTCCTGCAGCGATTTCCCATGCCTAAGTAACTTACACAGCTTTTGAGATGTGACTGTGACAGAAAATGAAACTAGGATTACTAATCAACCTTGTCGTTTCCTGTATTTTTTTTTTTGGGGGGGGATAAACTGTGCCACTCGTTTAACATTTTTATCACTTCTTTCAATTCCCGCACAGGTATCAGTGTGTCATACAGCGTGGTACTAACGACGTTCTTTGTCGCCAGAATGCCAAAGGGCAACAATGCCGGAACCTGCTTGCAGTTGATGGGTTATGACGATCAACACAACGAGTGGGAGAGTCTAAGGCCAGCCCTGGACTGCATTCAGCATGACGGCGAGATTCCGTACTCTGGGGTGCATGCCAGTCATGTTCATTGCCGGTACTGCAGGGACTGGGTGTGCGGCAAAGAGTCCCATGTAGCCCTGGGTATAGGTAAGCTTCCACTCATGGTAATGTTAATGCTGGTTTGTGTACCGGCATGGTTGAAACAAAGGCAAATTTGAAACGTGTCATGTCTTAAGGGGTCTGCCGTGTATCCGAATATATCTGTTCGATTGATAACCGAATTTTCAAATACAAGTATAAATATCTCAAACTGCATACTTGAATATGAAAGTGAGTGATAATAAATAGGGGAAAATTCCAATTACATGTATTCTTGAAAACAATAATATATGGCATTGTACAATGCATTAGCATAATATTTCCAGATGTTTTGAGTAGACTTTGAGACATGCTTTGTATATATGCAAATAATGCTCTTCCCTATCCTGAAAATCGATGAATAATATTGATGTTATACGAACATGCTTATTTTGTTTTCTTCTTGGAAAATCAGTGCAACCGAAATATTCAACTAATTGATCGAAGGGCAGATCCAGTACTAAAATATTCATTTGTTGAAATTGACTGATTCGTCAGGGCGAACAGTCATATAAACATTCCCTCTTCTGAAATTTTTGCGACAAATTATGTATTTGTTAAACATCACCCGCAGCTATTTTTAATATAAGTTATTTGGTTTTAAACTCCACTATTTGGGTTCAGAGGTAAACCCTTAAATACAATTTTATCAACGTCCACTGCAGACTTCGAAGCTCGAAGCTAGGTATAGACCAGTTTTGAAATCGCCAAAAAGAACCTGAGTTGAGAGTAGACCCAAAAACTTTCCTTATTCAGTCATTTTTTTATATATATCAACTGCGTATGCCTTGTCCGGGAAGCGATTAAAGAAAACTATCTGTGTTAGCTACTAATAACTTTTTAAAACATTTTGTTGCAAATAGTTTTAGAAAAATACAGATAATGATGATCATCTAAAGACTGACTCTTAGAACTGGACGCACAAAGTTCAGCTGCAAAGGCATGCACACCATCTGATGACAAGACTGTGTTTAAATACTGAGCACAGTATCCAATGTGCGAAATGAATGCTTGTTTCAATAAGTCATGTTGCAATTTTTCCCTTAAAACAGTGTATTCGTCGACTTCTCCGCCCCTCCATCAGCTTGACCCACCTGGCAGAACGTCAGAAACGGCGACGCCACTGGGATGATAATCTTGGGCGTGTGTGGCGGTTGCTTGCCCGTGGTTGTACTCATTGCTTGCTGGTCCTGGCGCAAGTGGTGCTTTAAAACCACCTCATCAGGTAGGGCAGGTGCCCCAAAAGGGCTGTTGTATCTACGTATCTTTCTACCAGATGTATATTTTACCCCTAGAGCCTCTGCCAGTCGGTGCTTTATTAACCGATTCAGACTGGCCATGTGACCAGCTGTTGTCCAAAAGAAAGGAAAGTCTGTGCAGCCTAACGTATTAATTACATAAATGCTACATAAGTGTACTCGAAGCACATTGAAATGTTCCCATGGAATATGGCAACAGTGACCATCTACCTGCAATTTCATTTACGTGACTTACGTAGTTTTAATCATATAAGAGGATACAACGACATGGAAAGGGGTGTAGATTTTATCACGATGGGACAGACGATATTCAATTGTCTCTGGCTATCCAAAATGACAGAAAAAACGCCCCTCACATTTATGTGGTGATTTTTCCCCTCTCATTTCATATAAGAGCGTGCTGAAAACACTACCCAGCCAAATAAGTAAGTACCAAATAACTGACGGTTAAATTTCCATGCACATTTGAAAAAAATAACCGATATCTCATCTTACGTATTTCTAGTAATGAAAACAAGAATTCCTCAAAAGTACCACAGGTATTGTAAGCTCGAAAGCCTGAAAAAAACCTGTAGAGGGGAAGCAATGAAAAGAAGTTACAAAATAATATTCTGAGGGAAATCCCAAGAAATCAGGTAGGGACTGAAAACCCAATTTACGTGTGGACATGAAGACGTATGAAAGTAACTGCGCGCTGAAAACTTCGAACGATGGCGGCCTAGACATTTATTCGTTCTAAGCAACAGTGTACAATGAAGTGCGATGAGATGATAGTCTCACCAACAGAAAATTGATATCACTCATCGCTTTTTAGCATGTAACATTCAAGACGCCATACAGGCCTGTGCTCCTTATTTACCTGTTGCAAGTTCAAATACTGCCAGTAGTCAACGTACAGTCTGGGTTACTACAATACGGGTGATTCACAATGCAGTGCACTACCAAGAGGTAGTTATATGGAGAGGCCCTTTAGCAGTGCATTATGGGATAAATTGTCGACTAAGTCTCATTTGCTAACTACGCTGTGATAAAACTTCAGTAAACGTGGTCGCAACATAGATACTTGGAAAATCACCACCAATGATCCTTTGTGCTTTTTCATCAGTAAAAGGGAATTGAACCAAATGATACAAAAAAATACAACCGACTGAGTAGTACTCTGATTAAATAAAAAGATTTCAAATCTGATTACTGACGTGACAATTGTAATATTTTTAGAAAATGGAGCCTTTGGTTTGATTATTTACAAGTTATAATTGTATTAGCATTCCAATTCAGTTTACCATCCACAAGTGTCCATGAAAATTTAAAATTGTGGGCCTACTACACAGGTGTATTATTGATTATCAGCTGGTTCAATAATGTTGATCTCATCCAAAAATCAAATCTTTTTTTGGTGTTTTGCAAATTTAAATTGAAGTGATTTCCGTGACACCTTTCAACAAGGTTTTTTTTATTCCATTTAAGCCAGTTTATTTTGGTCCTTTAAACGAAACATTTGTCTGCACTTATTCGATTATGAGCCAAGCTGTGATGTGGGATGTCTCGATCAAAGCGCCTGTAAAACTGGTTCAAATCGTCTGAAAACTGTTCTGCTAAGAGTATGCTGTGATGTCTTTCATGGCATCCACTGCTGCCTGAGGATCGTTGTTTTTGAATTTGCTCTCGATTTCGTTTGGCCATAGTGTCTCTTGCAGTGTCGAATTAAGTTCTTTTTTAATCACAGTTTTCCTCACAATTGCCACTCGCACAAGCCGTTTGTTTTCGTTTAATAAGTCTTCTCGTCTCTCAGGGGAATTTGGGTCGGGGTGGGAAAATGCATGGGAGGTTTCCTGACACAACTGTCCATTTTTAAATCCATAATAAGATCGTTTTAGTGCTCTGTGGGCCCGCTTTACAGTCCCAAGTTGACCATATTCCACCCTCAAGTATACTAGCTGGAGGCCTGGCACCACTTTCATGGCGTTTTTTACAACCAGGAGGATTTCATATTCATGCGTAGCTTTACAGAGCTATGTACAAGCTTTAGTTTTTAAGTCACCAACATCGACAATTTGAGGATCGAGATGTCCCTTTTTGAAATAAAAAAATTCGCAGCATTTGTCGTATTTGCTGAACACAGAGCTTATAAGCCTATCCAGTCCTGATCCTAAGATGTGCTAGTCTGTGACCGTTTCTTTTGTGTTGCAGCTTTTGGCAGGTGGAATCGTTTAGTTCTGGAGCAATGGAAGTCGGCAAAAACAAGTCTTCAAGGAAGGAGTGAAAACTATAAAAATGACTTCTGTTTACGTTTACGTTTAGCTTCATCATTCTTTTATGCCACTGTCGTTGCTCAATGTACACTATTCAAGGCGTAACTCACACCCTAGAGGGAGGAAACAGAAGGCGGTGCAACTCAGGCACTTCAAAGTGTTCAATGATGGTTGCAGCCGAGTCTGACGAATAATAGAAAACATTCCCCAAATGCCTGCTTTTTGCGTGCATCTTAGCCGGACAAGCGGGGCCAGTAATATCCCAGCAATACTTGTAGTTTTTTGCTTGCAATTAAATACAAGTTATTGATATGGACTGCAAAATCGAGGAAAATAAGTGAAACAACGTTACTTTTGTAAGCGCAATTCATCCGTTCTCGAGTTGTAAAGTGCACGAACGTACTGGAATCTGAGCGGCGTGCACGCACTACGCTTGCGCATTTCCAGTGAAGGTCTGTTGCACGCCCGCTACACGGAGGCCGTAACCGGTACCCGGCTTTCACCCGCCTGCCGTTGCAGTTCCGTTTTTGTCGGATCCTTCAAACTGACCAATTAACTACCTATTGGTTACCCCTAAAATGTTCGGATTTGTTCTGCCTTACATTTCGGTTTATAAACATAAATTTGCGACACAGCCTGCAAATTTTATAAACATAACTTCGATTAGCGTAGAAGGCTTTGTATGAGTAGGGTTCTTGTACGCTAATAAGTTCATCAACGATCTCTCTTTGAAGTGTTTAACATGTTTAATTTGTTCGTAGAGTTTTATTGGTTAAAGATGTATAAATACACAATACTGTATAAATTTGATTTTTTTATTAAAATGAAACAGTAACTTATCTTGAAAACTGAGGAATAAAAAAGAGGATTTCTTGCGGGCATGATGATCGTGAACAGGCAAGAGCGATGCTAGTCTAATAGGGAACACAGTATGCTGAGGCAGTACTGGCGCGCACACGTGCGGTAAGCAGCGATCACCCACAAATCGTGCTGTTGATCAGCCTTTCCTGGTTTTATTCGTAAACTAAACATACAATAAGCAGAATTTATTGGTAATTGGAAGTGAGCAGTTGGATTTTAGAGCAATGGACAGATAGCGAGACTGTGTCGAAGTTTTAAAAAAATCTCCTAATTCATAATCATATGGGGTTTTGGGGGGTAGGGGATGCTCTCTTAAAACCCTCGGCCTCAGGTAGGCCTAGATTAAACAGCTGGAAACTCAAATTCAAGTGTACTGGTGTAGCTGTTTGGAGTCCTCTCTAATCCTAAGCGCCTTCCGATATTGTAGTCAATGGTTTTCACCATTGAAGAAATGTGGCCGAGCAGTTTTGTCAGTGGGCTTAAAATCCATTGGCTTGGGAGGATGACGTTTATTATGGTCATGCTGGAGCCGTCTGGTTACTGGGCGATGGGTCCCGACAAGTACAATTGCAACATACTCGATCTAACAATCGGTGATTTTCCATTTATAACCATTTATAATTTCAGGCCAGAGATGATTATTAATCGCCATTATTGACTCTCACATCAGTCTGATTAATTTTAAAAAGTACTCATCTGTGCCGGCGCGTTTTGTAAAAGTTCTCAATCTAAAAAAAACGTATTTGGTATATGTTTCAAAATGGGACAAATCAGTAGAAATGAGTAAATTTCTAGCAACAGAAATGTGCCAAAGCCTTGCTGGATTTAATACCCTCTCCCCTCGACACCCTTAACTATATCGAATTTTGTGAACGCTTTTTTGTCTGCCTATTTGAAGTCCACCTGTTAACACATAATACATGCTAAAAGAAATTGCCCGGATTTGTGCAAATATGAATTTAGCTTTCCCGTACTGGCCGTAGTAGACGTAGTAGTGCTTGCGTGCAGGTAACTGGGCCATCTATCACCAACGCAGGTCACAACCTCGCCCGGCCCCCGGCCCGATGTTGGTGTGTACTCGGCATGGAGAACAATGGTACTCGTGGCTGAGAACCACGTTGCGCGTTACGTGCTCCATTTGAGCGTTTTTGAAACCAGTGGATCCGGTCAGAACATGAAGTTTCGATGTGCGTGTACGCAGCTCAGAATCTCATACGCCAAATAGTTGCGCGTGCACACTGTATGAATGAACTGCACAGGAGAACGGCTAAAAAGAGTCCACAACAATGGGCAGAATTAACGTTACGTCCGAATTTATTTTCCCGTTTTGACTTAGGTGGTGAGGTGTAGAATTTCTTATCACATCAGCTGTGGGGATAAGGACGCATAGGAATATTACACACGTGAAATTGGCTCCTTGCAAAAGGGGGAAGTGTTGAAAATTTGGTTCAAAAATTTTTCGCCTGATTTTGCACCCTCTATATCCTGGCCTCCCTCCGTAACGTCGTACGGTCAGGGAGTCCACGTGGGCTAGGCTGTGAACGTGAATTCCCGGCCGCGTGAGAGAGGGGATGAAGACTGGCGATCAGTCTACAAAGGTCAAATTAACTACAACCTTAACCTGTCATTCATTCAGCCGGCGCCACCGTTTGCAATGTTTGCACGCCCTGTTAGTTCACAATATATGCACAGTAACCAGGCAGAGATGACTAATTCCCTCTTTCCTGCAGACGCTTTGTCGAGAGTTTGCTCACGCTCTCGCTTGTTCAGTGAAGACGAGACATGGAGAGAAAAAGGAAAATTATTTCAACTTTAACCTTTTCTATAGGTTTGGTTTACCCCTCTCGAACACTAATGAAATAATGTCAAGGCTAGGGTGAGGCAGCCTCATCAGGTAGTAGGGTTTCAGCTTGCAGGTATATTCAATAGTGCGACGTATGCAGCAGACCGTGCGAGGAATGCACTGCGTTGAGCACTTGAAGGGATGGCGTACATGTACGTTGCATACATAGCGGTACTGACTTTGATGCAGACATCTGCTACTAGCGCACAGGGTAAGTCCACTCTAACACGCAAAAGCATGAGTTCCCTGGAAACACTGAATTGCAAAGGCTTTGTCCTTTTAGGGTAATTTACTTCAACGCAAATTTATAAGAATGACAAATATGCACTGATTATAAGATAATTTGCACGTGCTTGTAGCTGCTGGCATAAAATGCGGCGGTTCATCTGCAGTTTTGTGTAAGTGTAACTCTGTCTTGAATACTATATAATTATTTTCAATGGCCCGTTGCAGAACGATGTGGTGATAAAAATACATTATACTATCACCGTTGGATATAACAATGTGATATCAGAAACTAACTTACTAAAGAAACTTGGCCCCGCCCCTCATTTCAACCCCTATAAATACAGAGAATGCTTTCAAGACTGCTAATCTGCTCAAGTCTGCTTTCTATCCTGTTCAGGTTAAATTGCAATAACACTAGTAAGACAGATAGCCTTTCGCCAATTTTGGTTCTGTAGCAAATTCTTTATTTTTTTAAAAGGTGAGCCTTTCGCTTAAATACTCAAGTAAATAAGAGTTTAATATCCCAAATACCTTGTCAACTGTGCAACTGCTTTAAACTTTTTTCCAATACTCACTCTCACAACACCAGGCCTGTCTAACGGGTAATTCAGCTCTTCCGTTCTCTATATGTAATCCAGGAAAACGCAATTTTGAATTTCGTGATGGAGGTATTTCATTAACTGGCCTCCTGTAAAACTCAAACACCCTCTGCGTCGCACTTTAGCCACGTTTGAGTGCCATTGCAGGAGTCAGATGTGTTATTATTTTATGATATGTGTAGGTATTGTCCTGTATTTTTATGTTAATATAATATCCGTTGAATTCAATGTAAGTAACATACTTTCAGTATTTTGCTGATTTATTTCATCTTTTGCTACCAATATAGCATCTTTTATTGCCTTTCAATTTACCACATGGAATGTTTGTGTTTGCTTGCCACTTTTGAAAAACAGTGTCACGCTGAAAGATCTATCCTGGGTAACCACTAAATACAGAAAAATTATGCTTTGTTTTTCTCTCACTTTTAAAGACGGCAAGATCCATAGCAATGGTGGCTTCATCTCTTCTTGCACTGTTGTCTTCCTATTTATTCCTTTAATTCTCTGAGTAGTTCTAATTCTGTTATCTCTCTTCCTCAGACTGCAGTGTAGATGTGTCCTTCTGGAACGACACCGCCTGTGAGAGGGGGATAGAGGTGGCTCTGTATTCCAGATCTTTACCCTATTGCAGGGCCCAGTCGAGCTTCCCCGCCAATTTGACCCTCTACCAGGACGACGTTGAGCTCAGCGAACGAGTCGTGATTGAACGCGATGAGGTTAGTCCGGGGAACTTCCGGACGGGACTTTATCACCGGACCGACTTCACAGCCAAAGGCCATACTGTGTTTGAGTGTTGCGGATCGTTAATCGAGGGTCCAACAGACTGCCTTGGAAACACGTCATGCGTTACCTGCCGTTTTGAGGTCACGTGTAAGTTTTCTTCCATTGTTATGGTCGTTTGCCATAGTGAGAAGGTAGAGTCCTGTCAAACGTACAGGTTGTACCATCAGAGGCGATATTGGAGCCAATGAGTATCCAAGTCTCGGGTCTAAGGTACACAGAAAGTCAATTTAAAACTAGAGCTTATCTGTCTGTCTGCAAAAAAACAGGGGGCTTTTTCGCATTCTTTTGTACATTTGAACAACTACGGCATCATCACATCAAGTCATTTTGCGTATATAACACCTCTTTTTCAAGTTATCTGTAAGGTTTAAACCTGAAAGAACATGTACTTCAGGAGATACAAGGCTTTAAAAAGTGCACCTTTAATGTGACGTGACTTGTCTCCTGATGACGTCATGATCACATGATGTCAATATTCCTCTAAAGCACTCAGTTTTAAAGATATCTTCAAGATTTGAACCCGATCAAACATCTATTTCGGGAGAAATAGGGCCTTTAAGGGTGCACTTTTAATGTCACGTGAGTTGTCTCCTCATGACATAATCAGCACAGCTGGTAAACATTCGTATGTAACACTTCTAGTTATCTGCAAAATTTCAACGAGATGCGACATGTCCTTTAGGACACAAAGGGCTTTGAAGTTCATGCCAAGCCTTTTTTCCCTCTTGAATCAATTATTGCTCAAATATTCTTTAAAACCAAGAAAACCTCATCCTTTTTTCATCTGTTTTTCCTGAAATGAGATTTTTTTGGTCTCTTCGTTTTCTTTCGTACAAAGATTGGGACCTCTCTGTGAGTGCGTCCCCAGCGGGCCCTGTCCCGGAGGGCGGAGATGTCACACTCATCTGCATCATCGACAGCTACCCATCCTCTGGCGGATGGGTTCAGTGGCAGTACAGTGTCGATCAGAAGTCCTCGACGGCACTCAGCGAACCGATATATACCGTCGCCAACCACTCCTGGCCCCTCTTACGGGTGTCCCCAAGCCTGGGTGGCTGGTACCGATGCGCCGGGAACATCAATAAGACCCCAGGTTTTTGGCTCCTCGACGCATTTTCTGGTTGGATTGCTGTTCAGGTTCACTGTAAGTTTTCCTGCCCAACTCCGTAACTTAAGAATGAGGTAAACAAGATACAAACATGGAAATCTCTTATAACGCCATTGCACACATATTAATTGAAGTTACTCTTTGTGCGACTTTCTCTTTAGACGCTATGTCAAGCATTAAATGCCACCTTGTTACCCTTGTGAACTAAACATTCACCATCTATAAATCCTTGAACATGTTTAGTATAGAAACAGAAAATGTTCAGAGAAATGTTGAATGTCGTTTCTATCACGATGAAAGGCTAAAAGAAAAAATATTCTATCCAAATTGAACTTATTTTTGATAAACACTGGCCGGGGTTTAGTCCTTAGACGCGCAAAAGACAGCATGAATTTTTGAAACCTGTTTTTAAGCTTCCCCCAGACGGGGGCGACTATATTTGCTTCAGCCGAGCCAGATTCCATGCGGGGTTTTACTCCTTTGAGAAAATGTAATATATATGTGTTAACAAGCGGGTGAACAACGTTCAGTGCATGTCGCAGCAATGACGCTGATATTTTCATTCCCTGGGCTGTGAGCTATAAAGGGAAATGAAATGGGCGTATACTTGGTCCTGTGGTCATGTCTTGTCGGAATTATTTTGTATGTGCCCGAAACATCTACAATAGGTTCATGCCTTTTGCATCCCCAAATTTCTGGACCCAATTGTTGCACTAAATGCACCATTTATGTCCAACCTCTTTTGAAAGGTTGCTTTCATGAAGTGTTCCAAAGACAGATTTTTGCCCCATCCTTCCACAATCCATATCTACAATGGCCTAGGGGTCATTTGTTCAGGGCAAGTTTATCTTTGTAGAACTGTAGCTACAACTTACCAATCTTTTAACTCGCCTGTTGCCTGGCATAAATGCGTAATTACGACAGCTGTCACTTTGGCAATTGTGAGCAAAATGCACGATTGCCCTTCTGCCGGACAAACGGCGAACTTCAGAGAACCGGTTATTCCGTCATCGCTTGCATAGGAAGACATTTTCTGTAACAGGAATATGAGAATAGAAAGTTATTGTTTCACTGAACAATGTTCTTTTCGTCGAGGATTCTTTGCTAGTGCGCTGCATTTTGTCTATTTGTTTATAACAAGCAGCGGAAGACTCCAACATTTATGGTGGGTAGACCTATTAAAGAAAAGGAACTGTTATCTCAGTATCTTCCAATCATAGCTAGTCCCATTGTGGTCAACGAGAATAGGACATGGGTTGGCGCGAACGACGGCTATACGACCACCTTGGAGTGTATCATCCGAGGCAATCCCCTACCCACGGTCACCTGGTACGGTCCGAACGGCATCACCCTGACCAACAACACAGTTCCTAACCGGGTGTCAGTGAGAGGCACCATTAGCGGAGATGCAGTTTTGGGATTTCTCGTTAAAAGTCAAGTGACCATTAACCCAGTGGAGACCAACAACGATTATGGATTGTACAGATGCAGAGCCTCAAACAGCATCGGTACATTCAACGAACTTGAAGTAGAGCTAAAAGAAACGGGTAAGCTTGATTGAAAATGAACATAAAGCACAAAAGTAAAAGTACATTTGCCTCATTGTTTTGTAAGGGCTTTAAAAGGCTTTTATCTTCTAACGGTTTAATAGTCTTGTTCAAAAAGTGCTGTGCTTGAGGTTTTTATTTTATGCACATACTTATTATTCGTTTGCTTGCTTACTGATCTCCAACTATATTTTTACATGCCACTGGTCGGCAACAATACAACTGTGACGAAGATAGAACAGACGCAGTGTTATGGCGTGGCACACCGCCCTCCGTTACCGCTCGTCCGTGTAAATAGGCCCCTCATAAGCGACGCTTTCTAAGGGCTTTTGCAACAAAATGTCGCGTACCAACTGAGGGAGGTCCCCAAACGAGCTTCTACTCGGTCGGTAAAGATACAAAAGATGCAGTGACTTTTGCCTTCGAGGAGGGGATGCGTAACAGGAGTAGGAATTTTGGAAAGTACGGCCGATTAAAAATAAACAAGCAAAACAAATCAAAAACAAAAACGTTTGTTTAATTGAAATGTCTCTTTTGGTGATTCCATTATCTTGTATGAAAGTAGCACAAAGCTACAGATATTTTCTCGTGCTGCCAATGATTTTTGAAAAGTTACCATTGTATATTTTTTTAATGAGGGTGTATACTTTCTTACATGTAAATATGGACCCTGTGTTGTGAAAGGTGACAAAACCACATTTTAAAGTTAACACTGAGAAGTGAAGACTATTGTATATTTGTTTGATCTTTTAATAATATTTTGGTTTCTCTTTGACCTTTCTTAATTGTTCCAATGTGTCATTCGTCGGTTATGTTAAAGTGTCTTTATGGTCTCTTTAATGCTTCCCAATTATTAAAAGGAAAACCTGAACCGCCGTATGACTTTAGAGCATCCGTGGTTCAGGCTGTTGCCATCACAGTCACCTGGCATCCCGGCTACAATGGAGGCGAGGAGCTGCAGTCCTATTACGTCAACTATCGCGAGATTTCGGGAGAGTTTGACGTATCGGGCTGGAACCGCCGCGATCCACATAGTCGCTCTGCAGAATACGGGAACCTAACGCCCGACACACGCTACCAACTGGCCGTGTACGCTACCAACAAGCACGGCGACAGTCCGTATGCAACGCACGAAGTTTGGACGAGGCGTGAGTGTACCTGATTTCCCTGTAGTTCCTCGGGAAATTGTTAACGGGGACCAGGGTCCCCTAAAAAGTTTTTCTAAAAACAATTAGAGAAGGGTTTTGTTTTATCAAGATCCATTCTCTTCCCTCGTCAAATGTTCGCAAAAGCCCCATAACGTAGCGCCATCCCCCTTCAAAAAAAGATAATTTTGCAAAAAGATTCCAACATTTTGTATCTCCCATTTCGAATTTTGATTTACACTTTTGTGGTCCACTAAAGATTCAGTTTAGAAAACTGTCGCCTAGTTGTGCAATGTGGTTAACAGTTAACAGTCGCTTTATCAGACTGCTGTTGTCATGTGTTTGTCTGTCGTCATGTGTTGGGCAACAATGAAGGAGCAACTGAAAGGAAAACATGCTTTCATCTCTCTGATTTTATCTGTTGAAATAAATGTGAAGCATCCAAATCGAACGCAGTGTCATTGATCATCAGAGCTCAACTCGAACAAGCTAACCGGGCCTTTTTTCTGTTCATGCCATGCTGCAAATTCTGAATGTAGATTGCGTCATTCTGAGAAAACAGAAAAAAGCGATGTGAACCGTCGCCCTATGTTCGTAGTGGATAAATCCTTGTGCATGCCAAGCGTTGCATGTATTTGTATCCATTGTTTGGCACGCGCAAGGGTTTATCCACTGCGGACATAGGGCAAGGGTTCATCTCTTTTTCTCTGTTTTCCCAGAATGACGCAATCTACATTCAGAATTCGCATCACGGCATGAACAGAAAAAGAGCCCTTTTTAGCTTGTTTGAGTTGAGCTCTGAAGACGATTGCGTTTGATTTGGATACTTCCATATTTATTTGTACAGAAAAAATCAGAGAAAAACATGTTTCCCTTTAGGTTGCTCCTTAACATTTTTCAGTGGGTGAGACTCGGAGAGTAATGTTTTGCGATGTGGATGTGTGATTTTGGAAACTTGGAATAAAATGCACTGCTATATTCAGTCTAGATTATTACCACATATGGGCAGAGTGACTTTTCCTGTACTGATAGAGCAGTTTTTATCAAGATTCAAGTTTGAATATCTTAGGTTGATAACAACAAATTTTATATCCCATTGGTACAAACACGTTTTAGAACTTTTAGTTTTGCTTGTAGTTAGGTTTTAGTACAGCCTATCAAATTTTTGTAATTGGATTTTGTTTGCTCCATATTCTGCAACATGTGAGAAAAGCACCCTGTAACATGGAAACACCCATGCAATCCATTGCAGGCTGCTAGAACAAGCCTTGTGATTGGTCAGATTGCGCGATATTGTAACGTAACAGGCTGTCCAAATATGGTAATACTCCAAACTGATATTGAAGTGCAAGGAAGTAAGAGTACAATGTCATGTAGTGTAAAAAATATCCCTAAATTGCCGAATTGAATTGTTTGATTACCGATGTATTTTCGGACGTACCCAGTTCAATTACAGTACTAGGGTGGTTAAAGTGTAGCTGCAATGAATTTCTCACTATGTTTATCCATTCAGTGTACGAAAGCTGTTTTACACCCCTACTTTGTTTTATGCATTGAAAAGTGCACTGTTTTAAACTCAAAATTACCCATGCTCGACCTACACTACTGAGGGTGCCGTTGCTGTGGTATCATTTTCGGAAGACGTAAGTCAGCGCATAGTTTTTTTCTGTTCAAATTGTGCACTCAATATTTTCTTGCTGAAAACATCTGAGAAAGGCACTGATGCTTATGTATTGCTACGTGTATGCACATGAATAACAATGAAGCAGCACATCACAGTTTCGCTCGTGAATATGGAAATATTCATTGGCATAAAAGCCAAAAAGGGAGTAAAATACCCCTTGAAATAGTGAAACAAAAGTTGAAATGAGAATTTGAAACACAAAGAAAGAGTTCAAGGTTTCTGTTAAAAAAAATTGATTGGAGCTACCTTCTAAAAAAAATTACCTCCGGTACGACACAATCGATTTTCCTGCAATTAATGTGAGATGGTAGATTTTCAGTTTTACTAAAACGTGTGGCTAAAGGGTCTTTTGTTTTTTCCTTTATATCTTGACGTTGCAGCTGATACACCAACGGCACTTGGTGAGTTAATCAACCTCCTACGATGCTTTTTCCCAGATGTAAACTTTTACGCAGCAGATTTTTATTAATTTCCTCGGTCAGAACATACGATTTAGGACTAGATCTAATCATCTTATCGAAAAATGGTCCTCGGGAGTAACAATGTATAATGTCTGTTGGGGAATGCATTCATAAAGAGAACGGGAAAAAACATCCATTGCCAATCAAACATGAATACATGACTTAGGACTTCTATCTAAAGAATGTTAGAGCCTGACTCCATGTTTTTCGGGCCATGTGGACACTTTAATATCTCTGGGAAAAAGGGAAGAATTGTAAGCACAAGGGGAGGTCGTACAAAAAATTGAAACGTGTTATGTTTTATGTAACAAATAAATTCCACGAATGTGGCTTGCAAATGAAAAAATGAGCTTATCAACGCGTTATGTTGCCACAGTGTCACCAATTACCATGCAATTTGTTTTAATGCATTTCTTGTAAATGCGCCAGTCGCACCTGTTTTCAATCTTTGTTCAAATATTTAGGGGAAATTTGGTGCCTTTTCAGTTTTGAATATTGCAAAGTTTCATTGCCATTGCGCAAGAATTTTGGCCATTTTATGGTCGTGCATTTTATTTCTTTGGCGATCTGCTGTCGTTTCAGTTTACAATAATTTAAGCCAGTTGGCTGCATTATCTTTATATTTTTAGTAATTATTCAAATGAGAACTGAAATGGCCTCAAAACAACTGTACGCTCATTGTCAGGGAAAGCTTAGAAAATGTACTGCTTAAAAAGAGCGCCTTTCAGTTAAAGTAAAAAGGTTTTTTCACCTTTCAAGAGCAGAATGTTTTACGATATATCCTTTGTAAAATTCACATCGTTCATCCTAGTTATATCCTCTGGTGAGAAAATAAAAACCCCTTCATCACGTTAACGTATTCAGAGGTGGGGGATCACTGGCTTGTACTGGCACAGACTGACCGTGAGTGTGATTTGTTCTCAGGTATAACAGTTCTGTACAGCCCAGGAAAAGAAACAATTGTCATAACCGGCTTGCCACAGGACAGCGACAGTGGTACCTGCCTGAGGCTCGAGGGGTACGACTACCGCGAACACATCCACGTGAGTCTTGGGCTAGACCTGGACTGCATCCAACGCGATGGCGAATTAAGATACTCCACAGAGTTTATCACCGAGATACAGTCTCGATACTGCCGGGACGGACTCTGCGGCAGCCGGTCGGAAGCAAGGAACAGTAAGCTATATGTGGTACTGTATTGCAAGTAGGGGAACTTCAGGCTCAGTTCTCGGATTTAATTTAATGCTAACTCTAGACAAAATAACAAAGACGATCATAGCGCTACCCGCAATATCGATACAGTAAACGATACGCAAACAATTAACAGCTTCAGTCACATTGTCATTTTTTTCCATTTTTTTGAAAAACAACATCCCTTTTGCTCAGAGACCGCTGTTTTGACAAGGCCAGCTCCCATCTTGTTTACTTTTGAAAAACGGAAGAACTGCAGTAGAGCGTGTGGAAGCTAAGATTTCGATTCGCTCGTCCAAGGGTAGATACAGTTTTTTATCGAACATACAATTAGAGAGAATTCATTAATTAGAACATCACACGTCCGCGTGGGCATGACACGTGCCCACTGACTTAACTTGCAGTGGATTAGGAAAGTATATGACCAGCAATTCCTAGCGCGTCTGTAGCTGGGGCGTATTTCCCTCGGGGGATTTGGTGAAAGAAATGTGCTCATCCCAATACTCTGTATCAGGGCAGCAGGAACTAACGAAAGATTTCAACCATCCGGTTAAAAATGTCTCACAGCGCTCTGTATCAAAATACAAGTATGCTGTGACAAACTGTTGAAAGACACCTCCACTGAGATTGGCTTACGTGTTGGAAATGTCTTTGTGCACAGTTGACAAATACCCACTCACGTCTCCTCGACCTTCGAGCACGGGACCAGCCGAGAGCGGGAATGATGGTAACAATGTGGCCATAGCCGTGGGTGTTTGTGGAGGTATTGCATTCCTGGTAGCAATTCTTGTGGTCTGTTACCTCTACAAGCGTCACAAAAGCCAACCTTCCAGGTTAGAATATTTGGAAATGTCCTTAATTTTCAGCAAGGTCAACTTTACAGTTATAGTATTTGTAACAACTTTTACAAGTCACGATTTGACAGCTTCAAAATGTCACTTGTCTGAGAAATCTATCAGTAGTTGTCAATTTTATACTGACGTGCTTGGAAAGTTACATTTAAAAGGAAATGTAAGCTCGATTGTAGATACAGAATTGTTTGAAAGATAGATTTTGCAGTCAAGACACCGGAAACCCACACTGGGCGACAAAATTCCATTTAGAACAAAAATTAATGTTGCATCTCTCAACATGTACCTATTCCATAGTTTCCTAGGTGGCCTGTTTTGTATGGCATTGAAAAATTCTTTGATGGCATCGCAGACACTTTCAAGACTGGTTACTTTTTGTAATGTTGCCACAGTATTGTCGTTGGAAGTATATTCAAGCCGCTAATTAATGGTGATGTAAAACATAATTACGGAAGTGCATGTCTCAGCAAAACCGGGATACTTGATTGAAATTGCATTGTTGTATCTATTTTACAGTGGTAATAAATACGAAAGCAGCACGAAGAAGCCCGTAAGTACCCAAATGCATCGTGTTTCACAGGAACTCTGTTATCGTTACGTCGTTTTTCCGCCTTTTTGTTCCTATGTACTGTTCACAAGTCTCACGTTTTCCTTTGCATCATGACAGGAAACCAGTGTTTAGAGAAGCGAAGCCTGTCAACATGGATTCATTGGTGAGACAGCTTTCAAAGCATCATATGACTTAGGCTGCATCCGAATCTGTGAAGAGCTAGGTCTATGTCTTCGTTCCATCGGAAATGCATGGAGACGCATAGACAATAGACCTAGCCGTAGCTCTGGAAGCCTGTTTCGGACACGGCTTTAATGTCTTGCATTCAGAATAAAGTTATGTAGTCAGTTACTGCGATACTGTGATACTACTAGTTCAACCTAGCGTTCTGTTCTACACCATTACAGGCAAAGCTCAGCACCCGATAAGTTCACACATCACAAAACGACAATCGGATCTTCCACGCAAACCTCGAATGCACACGACAGAATCGTTTTGACCTTTCTGCACGATTTGGAGACTGTTGGCTCGTCGAATCACTGCTCCTCACCCAAATATGACTATGCCAAGACAAGAACCATGAAAGCCCGCGTGACCAGACGAACGGCCCGGGATAAATTGGACCGGACAATTTTGAAATAGTGGTGATATGTATGGTACTTGGCGTTGTTCAAAACCACTAAGAGGAATCATCAAAGTGATAATTTATTCATTTGCAAACCACAAATTTCTAGAGCACCTGTAGAGAAAACATGTTTTCTCCGAATTTATTGTTTGGCATGCACAAGGGTTTATTCACTACAAACAGAGGCTAAGGGTTGCCCTCATTTTCTCTGTTTTCTCCGAATGACGCAATCTACATTCAGAATTCGAATCTAATTAATTGGCATGGACAGAAAAAAGCCCTTTTTATAGGTTGTTATAGTTGAGTTCTTAAGACGAATGAAACTGCGTTCGATTAGGATGCTTCCGTATTTATTTGAACAGATAAACTTAGAGAAGACATGTTTCCTAAGTGGTGCTCTTTAAGTTCAAATGCAGTGTGCAGTGAAGATATTAAACGTGGTCGAGGCAATGGCGTACAAAGGCGTTTCAGGCAGCTGCCAAGCGACCCGCATCCACCCACATCTGTAGAGAGAAGACAATATCTGTTTCTTCTTATGTGGGTTTTTTTAAGAAGCAGTTACACTTTTAGAAACTCGTGTTTGGAGAAAGATGCCTTGTTGTGACACTCCAGAACACAACCTAGCTCGGTGTCATATAAGATTGTTTATTGCTGTCATCGTGTTTAATGGTACGAGCTTTTAATTAATTGCATGTAGTGAATAGTGATGGGCATTATGTTCGGCAGACACTTATCTTCATGTAGTCCAAAACAAGATCAGCATGATGTCTGTCTATAGTTTGGAAAAGGTTGTTTTGAGGCTCTTCGTATAGATTGAGCGCGATGTACGTAGTTGTGGTCGTTGCATGTTGGAATGACATCCTTTGGCTTTTAGTAATGGTCAGTCGTATTGTCACTTTGCATTAATTTTTTTAAAATAAATTTACACGTTACTGCAATTACGCATTAAATGTGAAAGTGGTTATCCAACTGTACATCATATCTTAAGTTTCAGATGTCAGTCCCATTACGGTTAATTGGGGTCTAAATCATGTATCTCTCGTGCATCAGCGCCCATAAAGAATGGCCCTGGCCGAAGATGATAATTCCCTACGTTACGGACACGGAACTTGTATAGTGAAATGAGCCTGGATTGGACTGCTTGTACAGGGAATTGGTAACTGGTTTGATATGCATATGGTATATTTTCGATCAATATTTTCAAGTGAGCTGTTATTTTTAAACTTCTCTTTAATTTGCTAGCGACTACATCCTACCGCTATTTAGAGTCTTTTGGTCGCAGAATAAGAAAGCCGTTAACATGCTTTGATGAACGCTATTGAGGGCAGCTGTGTTTGATAATTCTTATAAGGTGCTGTTATTCTATAGATGTGGAGATGTAGAACTCTGTATAATTTACCACTCTGTGTTGATATTTGGACGGTTTTCTAGGAGTGATATTCCCGATTCAAGTGTCTCATAACGTATTGAGATGTAAGATATGTGTGGATGCATTGCAAGGTAATGCCAATAGTCTATAACTGTGTAACTTGATGTTTGGACTCTATGGAAGACAGACTCACTGACTGTAACTCATGCGTATAACATTTTGCATATTTAATACGAAAATGTTATCCAATTCCACTGATTCGAATTTCACGAAGACTTGAGTTAAAATCCAGTTAACATTTCGCTGTATAAAGGTCGTTCGTCCACCCAGTTGACTGTATTGCTACGATGAATGGTGCACGTCCGTTTTCCAACTTGGGATTTCCCAAAGAGCAAGTGATATATGAGAAGGATGTGAGAGATAGTCAGGAAAGTATACTTCTTGGCAAGTCGGACAGCAATAAGCATGATGTATTCCGGTATTCAAACTTGAAAGTAAAAGTGGAATATCTGTGCGTGTTTTAATTGCTTCATTCTCAGTGTTTTTCTCGAGTAACGCAAGCCATACAAGAATAGTCTTACTGGGGCTATTCGGCGCAGAGTTGTAACAAATGTTAACATATTAGTACGTTTAAGCCCTAAGAAAAATTTCCTCTAGATTTCCTCGAGAAAATAAAGAAGAAGAAAATATTACACGCCAGTTTTACGTGTAAAATGTGCATTTTTTTTTACAGCTGTAGGCCTAATTGTAATTTATTTATAATGTACTGAACGAAAAACTACCTAAGAAGCTGACGTTTTGAATAATTTTTCACCTGCTACGGGTATTCCACTTTATCCAACCTGTGCACACTCCCTGCAAAAATTGTTAAAGAAATTTATTACAAAGTTTCTCTGTTGTGATCTTACTGAAAAACAAAACCCACTTCTCCCGCACTTTCAAGTGAATCTGATATATTGTTTTTTTAATGTGTTTAACGTGACGGTGCCACTCCAGCCAGCATTAGCGGATAGGAGTGTCTATTTCGGTCCTTTTCATCGCGCCAGCAAAGAGCGTAAGGCGATCTGCTTTCGCGGATTACTTTGTCCTAATTCTTTTACCTTTTTTCCCGCTCTTTCGTTCTTAAAATGATTTCAAGCCATTTTTTTCCTTGGCAGTTAAAGCCTGAAGACTAAGATCGTAATTTTTACAAAATTTAGTTATATTTTTATTGAGGCAGTTTGTTAGGCCTATTTGAAAAAGGCAGGGTTATTTAAGAACAAAGAGCCTGATCACAGCATACACACGAGTGCATGCGGGTTGGCGCACAGCGTGCAAGGGAACTGACATCATCGCAGTTCACACTCGAGCGACATTGTTAAGTTTTATAGTCCTGCACCAATAACATTGTGATCATACACGTGTGTACTAATGCAAGGTTAGAAGTTGGAAGTAGGAAAAAAGGGTAGGCTGAAACTGAACCGTGCATTCAGTGCCACCTTAGGTAGTGGATAGGGACTGGCAGTCAGTCTACAAAATGAACCCTGAACTATAGCCTCGGTCTTACCCTACCACCCATTTTTCTGTGTTGCCTCTCCATGCTCGGTAGCGCTGGCTGCTCTGTAGTCTGCTCACGCTGCCTTCGTTCACAGTGATTATGACACACGCTGAAAGAACATGTACACGTACATGTACATGCTGAGTTGACTCATTCTCTCCCAGATTATCCCGTTGACGTATTTTCTGCCGACATCGACTCTTGACAAGCCCAGTTGAGGTACCGTGTGTACGACGGGGGCGGTCCTCAGGTCCAGCACGCGGCAACGGTTTGAAGGCTTGTGTGTCTACTGTCTACTCCATCCAGAACTAGGGCCTAACACTGTACAGTACATGTACATCATGTACTCGCTTATGATATTGAGCACACGTATGATGGCGTGCGTTGCGTTTGGAGCGGTGGTGCTAGCTTTGATTCAGATCTCCCCTACTAGCACACAAGGTGAGTCCATATGATATAGGCCTAAGATGAACAAAATCATAACGGATTTAGCCGGCCTGGATTTATCAGCATGCGTGGTTAGCGCTGATGCATCCCCCGGTTATGAAAACTCTGCCCTTGGTGGGCCGAGTCCGATGACCCTTGGTGGCATGATTGGACCGACGACACGTCAAGGCCTGCAGTTGCACTGAAGTCAACAGTGGGGCGAACAAAATTCAACACCTAGCGATTACTCTCACATGCATGCATGAGACTTAAACACAAATGGAGAGACAACCACTCTCTGTGGCAGTATAGCTCAAGACTTCATTTATTTTACATTCTAGCACTACCGTGTACGAATGATACTATTGCCCCAACCAAGAATGAATGGCTATGAGCCAGTCCAGTATTCCAACAGCGCGTGCCCAGTATGAGGCTATTTGGGAACACCTACATGCCACCTACAGCCATAGGCGTACATTGTAAAATAGTTTATAATTTTATGGAAAAAAAGCTGAAAGCAAAATTTTCAGAACTTATTTCCAAGCCGCGATTTTACGGAAACATATTTTAATTGAGAAACACAGTATTTTAACGGAATTACCCAAAACAGAATTCCGGAAAAATATGGACTAAAATGAAAGTATACCAGGTAAGAAATGGGACGGAAGGGTCCCCCCCTTACCTGTCCAATCCCTATACACACTGTAGACTATTATTACCTAACACTCCCCCCCCAAGTATGTAAAGAATTCCTGATATTCTGATCAAACAAACACCAACACAAAGGCGGGGTGGGGGGGTTCTATTCGTCCCATATCTTGCTTCAAATGAATAAAAGTTCTGTAAACAAAACTCTGTAAAATTATGGATTTCTTTTTGAGTAACTTTTAATTTACAGATTCCAATTGATGGTATTCTTATGTTTACAGATTTCTTTTTACGGTTTTTTTCATTAAAAGCTACATGTATCTGTGTATAAAACATTTTTATTTACGGATTTCTCTTTAGTAATGGATTTTTTTTCTATACCTACATGTATATGTTATGGATGTAATTTTATGGCATTCAGATACAGCACTTTTCTGTTAAAAAGTACATATAATCGGTTGAAATGGAACAGAATGGAAAGGTTCCGTAAATTTTGCTACCAGTACTCCCCATCAGCAGAATTATTTGTGTAGTTTATATTGCAATTCTACCACTTTTTTAGAAAAATAAATATCACAATAAAATCTAAAAAAATATACAAGTTCTATAAATTACCACTAGGGTTGAGAGATCCAACTTCTCAATGCAGACATAATTTAACTTCAACAGATTTTCTGTTCTCCACACTACAGTACAAATGACAGAATAAGAACAACAGTACATGTATCTTTCAATAATCATTGCGTGAAGTTGAATGGGGAACACAATCACAGTCGAATTTACATGTACATGTACATGTACATGGCACGTGATCATTTCGAATTCAATGCAAACATGGCAGTAGAGCACTGCACTGATGATGATGTCAAGTTCTCTTTTTATGTGTGCTTTTCTATGGAGCTTCAAATTCGTTGTCTCTTTAGTTGTCTGGTCCTAGCCACAAGAGAGTGCATATACTGTATGTAAACAAACCATGACATTATCAGTACAAGGATCAACTGCAGTTAGAATTGTAGTACATGTACAGTACATGTATGTTATGTGAATTACTAGAAAATGTCAAACGTTGATACGTGTGTCACTTGTTATCCCACTCACACTCATGGAAAACGGAGTAGTGTAGAGTGTCTGTACCCCATGCGCCACTAAGTCAAAAGCGTCGTGGCATAAGGAACTCATGATGTACATGTACTCCCATACTCTGTGCTCCGTGAGTAGAGTAACAAATTCATCATCAAGTAAGCTTAACACATACACTGAATGCACTTGCTGTTTACAATGTGCCACAAGCCATAGTAAAATATGCGCAACTTAGAAGTACATGCAGTGTATTGAATACATGTATGTTTGGTGCAATGTAGCTGTCAGTATGTGTTATCACACTTTTGTTTGTATGAATTGACCAATCAGGATCAAGGATTTAAATTTAGTTCAAGATGATACAGCGCATGGCCAAATTCTGTTCACTTCACAATTCTGTTATGGTAATTCAGGTATTAAACAAGAAATGAAAAGTATTTGCCATTTAAGACTTTTCTATTACATGTACAGTATTTGGAAAAAACAAAACTCACACTTTTGCACAACCACCCACAGACACTTAGTATGTGTCTACGTGACAGTAACAAAGACTTGTTTCTGCACATTTTCAGTTGATGTGTTGCACCTGTTGTCCACAGAAGAGGAGCCATGTCTGCTTTGGCTGAGTTACAGGAGCTAAATTCAATGTTATTTATTTTGACATGTCTCAAGTTGTCAGGATGTGGAAAACTTACATGTACCTGTACATGAACATTACCCAGTACTAAGTATCTGGATTGACTTATTGAGAACGCTTTAAATACATGTACGTGTACATGGTCAGGTAGACTGATAGTTAAATGTACCTGTTGGTTTGAGATCAATTGCATCATAAATTTACATCTGCACCTTCAACTTGAAAAGACAAGTCACCCCTCGAGAGAAAGGTCACCTTTCGGTCATTTCTGGTATAAATGAATAAAGCTCGCTCTTGACAGGCACTTCAAAATACATTGTGCATGGGAAACTGTGAGGTACGACATGTTCGACTGCTAAACAACCAACACATGCATGGGGGGGGGTGTGAATATGAGAAGTACTACATGTATATGTACATGCACCTTACCAAATTAATGAGTACTGTACATGAAATCTGTTTACATCAGGAGAGGTGATTTGAGGATGTCTTCCCTGGCTCCATGGACACATCACTGACTTTTGGTCTTTGGCAGGCAACAGGTACATGTACATGTAGAAATGGAGAGAGACATGTTGACCCTCAGTTACATACATGTATAGCTAGCCAGGGTGGCCCCTGTTCATGATAATGATGATGATCTTTAGCTGGTCCTGAAGCAGAGAAATAATATAATTTTTAAATGTAAATCGGTGAATCTTAAAGCATTGTACATATTCTCAAATGCAATCTGCCAGTCATGTTTGTGCCTTTCTTCCCTGATGCTCATATGATTTGAAAGGGGATACTGAAAGGTATCGTACATGTAAGTGGTGCTTGCTTATACACACCAACAACTTTTGCACAACTTTAATACATGTAGCTGTTCTGTGCAAGTGACAGATTTCCAAACTTTGATCTTGAGATTATACATACGGTGTAGGGTTGACAGAAAAGAGAAAATATACAAACCAACCAATCAAGACTACCAACCCCATGAAAAAGCAATAAAGGCAAATGCATATTTCAGTAAATGGTGTTAAGGAGGAGTATTGCTTCAAAAAGTGGAAGGTTTTACAGTGCTTCTACATGTAGACAGACATGAAAAAAGCGCCACACTGTAAAAAGGTTGGTCAATTGTGGGTTGATATTTTGCCCCATGTTGGTGAAAATATCAGCTCAGCAACTTTCGGGCAAATTCTTCACAACATTTGGTCAATGTTTGACCAACATTGACGGAAAATTGACCAACTTTTTGGTAGCTTTAACAAAGGTTGGGCAAATAACAAATGCCCGACACTATTTTGACCAACGTTTTTTACAGCGCATAGGAAAATTTTCCTAATACGACTTAAAAGGACTTACCCTGCCTTCACTGTTATTTACGCAAAATAATCCATCTGTCCTTTCTTGATATGGGTTGAAGTTGATGGAGGCGGGTTCGTTTATCTCATACTGAATTAAAATGGTGAACTTTAAAATAATTTCGCTTACCCACACCTCAGAAAACTGACAACAGTACTTAAATGAATGTTCACTGTCAGCAGTATGACAGCTTGACCAATTACAGCACATCCCAAATCTATTTCTCTTTCTGTCCGTCGCAACCTAAAATGAAAGTCAAGCTGCAAGTGGTCGAGTTTAATCTCTACGCCAGTCACAAAATATTATAGCTTTGCTGTCCTTCAACGACGAGTGAGACAGATTAAAAAAACTGGAGCTGTAATAGGCCAAGCTGTCATACCGCTGACAACTATGATTTTTAAAACTTAGTGATTGTCTGGCTTCCATGGTATTGGTAAGCAAAAGTTCATTTTTTTTAAACATACTAACATTTCAATTAGGAAAATGAACCTCCGTAGTTGGCGTCTACCCATATCAAGAAAGGTGTATAAAATACGGTGTAACGAGTCCTTACGATTAAACTAGCTAAATTGTCCAGGGCTATGGTGAAAAACCTATTGGTTAGCTTTGTAAAACCTTAAGGTTTTAGAAGTAGAGTATTAAATGTATGGTGATCTTACTAGAAAAAAAATAAGAGTAAAGACTCTCCCAGCATTCTCACATAAAATCGGCAGATGAGAAGAGACACCATTCTGACTGTTTGGAACATTTGGCACATGCTTCTATGAGGTAAACTCATGATGACTTGCAGGGAACTTGGACATCTGATCCTGAAGATTGGCATGTACATACATGTAAATTTGTGTGTTGAATTTTGAAATGGACAAATTCTTCTTGCATTAAAATAAAAGTGACTCAAGATGTAATATTATACATGGTCTCTGACTGGGAACTGCATGTAGTTCTACGTGTACGTTTGTTTTCCTAATGAATTTATAAAGTCATATTCATTAGATGAGATTGTGACTTAGGTCTAGCACAATTTTGGACTTCAATTCTCCTAAACCCCAAAAGTTGCAAAAATATGGCCAACATGTACATTACATGTAAATCAAATCCTACGTGGCCAGCAGGTTAAAAACAAAGAATACTTTGAAACAAGTATCAACTGCTTTAACAAGAGAATCCATCTCATTTGATAACATCATTGTATATTACAAAAAAACTCTGTGGCTTCCAGGACTGCGTTGCTCAGCAGGAGGACCCGTGGCTACGTAGTCACTCCCCGCTTTCAGCATTCCTCATTTCTCTTCTGAGTGTAGCTGGT